AATAAGAAATTTCTTGAAATGATTCAGACTATTTCAAATGATAGTCATAATGAAGGATTGAAAAAAGCAGCTGATGGACTTGTTTGGAAACTTATTCGAGGTATATGTTATGCATTGATATCTATAAAAATTTATCCATATTTATATATTTTAGAGCCCGCATTCTTAGAGAAAATAGCAAAAAAAGAGGAAGAAGAGAAAACTGCTGCTAAAGGAGTTATGGAAACCGTAATTGAAGAAGTAGTAAATAGTGATGGTCAAAAACAACTTATTCAAACGATTAAGCCAGCTACAAATACTACTGGTGAACGAACATTTCAATATGATATAATGATTTCATATTGCCATGCTGACAAAGAACTCACTTATAAAATACATAAATATTTAGTAAGTCAAGGTTTTAAAGTATGGATTGATCTCGATAACATGCATGGACCAGGTAAAAAAATTTTTATTAGTTTTATTAGATTTCATTTCATATAAATTTATAGCAATGAGTGCGATGGCAGATGCAGTCGAAAATTCAGAATTTATTGTTATGTGTATGTCTGATTCATACAAACAAAGTACATATTGTCAAGCTGAAGCTGAATATGCATTCAGTTGTAAACGACGTCTTATTCCATTAATTATGCGACCAAAATATAAACCTGATGGCTGGTTAGGATTCATGATTGGTTCACGAATATATGTAGATTTTGGTAAATTTGATTTTGAAACAGGCTGTCAAAAATTATTGACAGAAATTAGTCGTCAAAGTAAACGACCTCTTCCGTCGAAAATTAAGTCTGAAAATCAAAATGAACAGTCAAATGATATAGTTCCTAATAAGACACAAATAATTACGTCTCATCATAATAAACCTTCGATAGATAATAATGATACTAATGTACTCTATATTCATACGAAACGAAAACCAATGTCAAATTTTAATCGAAAACCATTATATTTATGGACAGAATCTGACGTATTAGATTTTCTTTCCCTTGAACATTTAATTCAATTAATGCCATTATGTGAAACAATGAATGGTCAAGCTCTTATACAATTATACAAAATGTGTACGGCTCAAGGCACTAAAATGTATGTTCTGCTTAATGAAGAGTTAAATTCGACATTTAAATTGAAATTACCTATTGGAGTATTCACAAAATTTTTAAGTTCTATAGAACAACGATTAAATACAGGTTCATTAGTACGATCGGAAACTAAAATACAATATCCTGAAACCAAATCTACAAAAATTTCACAAGAACATCTTTCATATAGTCCTAGTACACCAACTGCTAATTATAATCCGTCAAAATATCCATTACAATCGGATAAAGCCTATGATCTTTTAATTACTTCCGATGTTCCTGCTATACAAGTATTGAGAACAGTGGAACGTTATGGTATAAATTTTGCGAAAAAAGCGTTTGCATCAAAAGTATCCTTTCGTTAAACTTCGAAAATTTACGTTTTGTTTTGTTTTTTTATTATTATACAACGAAAAAAAAAGACTTCTGATTATTTAGTTGTTATTTTTATTAGAATTAGTAAAATATATAATAATGAAATAAACGAATATAATTATTATTTAAAATTCAATAGAAAATATTTTATTGCATTTCTAAATTACTTTTAATGAATTATCGATGATTGTTGTTTTTTTGTTTTTACATATTTTGTATATGACATATAATATATGGCGTACTTTCGTTTTGATATTGATAATAATAAAACGAACAAAAATATGTTTGTGATAGTATACGTTACCTCTTTCTTTCTTTCTATGCGCGCATTTTTTACCTTACAATACGATTAATACTGTCGATGATTATTAATGTAACCACATGCATATCGTTTACATAAAAGAAAATCATATTTACTATTCAATGATGTTTTTGATTACTTATTTAAATCCTAATATCTGGTTAATATCGTATGAAAAACCATCTGTTATTGTTGTCAGTAATAAATATTATATGTAAAAGTTTGAATAAAAAATATTGTGCATTTATCGTTTTCTTTATCGTCAAATAATTGAATTTAACTTGTAAGAATAAGTAATTGTCAAAATAATATATATATTTTTTTTGTCGTTATCAATGCACCGTTTCGCTTCGTAGAGCGCCTCTTTGGTATTCGCATGCTTATTTTTTTACTATGTTTGTGGTTATATACATAAGATGAATAAAAGCAATCGGTCTTTGTAAAACATGATAAAAATGAATATTATTTAGATTCGTACTTGTTCATGATGGACGTGCATATCTCGAGCGAACATCAACAATCATTATCATGTAAATATTTACCAGCATCCTGTTTTTACTGCTACGTGCCTTCATCTCAATCGCTTCAATCACCAATATCAAATGTACAATCCGTTGTCACGTCAAGAGAACAGATTCAATCAAATCCAACACCAGATCCATATCTATATAATCAAAATCAATGGAGTAGTTCACATGCTATTAGGAAGTCTTTTGAAACAATACCAGTATCAAGCGATGATAATAGGATCATGAACTTTGAGCGATTTAGATCGCGGAAACGCAAAACATATCGACATATCGATGGAACACTATCCTTCAAGAAGTCATCGCCTGTACTTCAATATTATGATACTATTGACAAAAACCAACAGCCACAGATTGTGACTTTAGTCAATGAATTTTGTCATATTTTACGGAATCGCATCACGACGATAACTGCGAAGAAACTGACTGATTTATTAGATAAAATTACACCTGTAATGAAAAATTTATTTAACTCCAATGATCAAGAACAACAACAATTACCCATTCTGATTGATATTCTCAATGCACTTCTCAATGTTCATGCAACAGTGTTAATATCTGTTTCAGAAAATAAATTTTTTTCTTTACTTCAAACAATCCTTATCACATTATTAAATCAATGGCGTTCTCTTCCATATTTACCCAATGATGAATTCTATGTGTTTCGTCTTATAGTTAAATTATTGAATATATTAACCCATAGTAACAATCTCATTCCATCAGGATTATATGATTCTACATTACTCGAAACGATTGCTAACTGCATTACAGACATAGCTACTTCAGAGAAATTTCTCGATACTAAAAATAAACATCAATTCAGATATTTTACACATTTAATTGATGCATATACTTTATATCAAGAAATCTCAAACGATCATAATCAGTCTAATAAAGACATATTCATCAAATTACTTCATCCAATTTCACAGTGTCTTACTTCGAATCAGTTCATTCATATTTTTATGAACCTATCAATAAATTCTAACTCTATGACAGCAACAGAAAAATTCTTTCTTCTCATATGTCCAAAATTTCTCATTTCGTATAAAGGTAACTATTCACTCTCTTCCTAAATAATATTGTTATTTATTTTATTCATAGGATCTCATCTTGAACAAACAATGAAGACTTTACTTCCAGTCATGTTACCTCAATATCTAAAAGTATTAGACAAATTTGTTCCCTCAGCACATAATTGGAATCTAGCAATGCTTCGATCTATAGAACATTTACTAAGAATTATCAATCATGGAGCAGATCATTCTCCAACAAATGCAAAACTCATCAGTAATTATCTACCATTGATTACTCATATATTAAACCTATTAAATGAACCAAAATTCTATAACAATCTTCATCCAACATTATCAAATCCAGTAACAAAACTGATAAATACATCTATCAGTTTTCTTGTGAATATGATTAAAGAACCTACAATACTTGCACATATAAAACAATCTCATGCTGCACTTAGTTTTCTTCGTTTAACCTCATGTCAAAATGAGAAGTTGATATTAAATGTTTATACTCTTCTTGCATATACAACACA